AAGCTAACTGACCACAGGAGCCAAGCAGCACCCAGTTTGCAGGTCTGGAGCAGTAAAACATTGCTGGATATTTTTCAGAGCCTTGCGTTTTAGGGTTTTCATTTGCCTGGTGAGGTGAGGCAGGGTTGAAACTGGCTGAGTGGTGAGTATCTGAGACAGTCCACTCCACACATGAGCATGCACATGAGGGAAAAAAAAAGTGCCTTTCTGTTTGAGAGGAGGGAACCACAGTGACTAGCCCTATAAGCATATGTATTAATCATGCACCGTCTGGTTTTAATCCACACACTGCTGATCCTGCGTCTCCCTGTATTGTTATCAGGGGAAGGAGTATTTCTCCTCAATCTTATTCACCAGCCAAAAGCCTGAAAATGCAAAAAACACATTTGTGAAGTGCCTTCCCAAGGACCCTGGGCCCCGGACCTGGTGAGCTGGGGCTGCTGCCTTTTTATTGGCATTTAAAAACCTTTTATTAACGTGTGTCAGGGCTGGGGGAGGAGAGAGAGGTTCAGGTTTCAGGACCCCCCATGCAGAGAGGTTTATTGTGGGAAGGGACATTAACACTTTCTCCTCCACGTCTCCTTGGCTGAGGCATGTGGCAGAGCGTGGGCTGCAGGCATGGGCTTGGGTGACACACACGTCAAGCCCGTGCAGAGCTTGCAGGGATGAGGGCAACCCGTGATACCATGTGCCTGCATAGAGAAGGACCTCCCTGCTCTGCTCCATGCTGAGTGATCTGCAGTCCTCTTCCAGCCTTGCCACCAGCTCCACAGAGCCACTGCAGAGCAGGATGCTCCCAAGACAACAGGGTTCATTGGGAGCTGGGGAAACCAGGATGTGCTCCAGGTTCCCAGGGCTGCCCAAGAACAGACCCACACACAGCTCAGATCCATCGCTAGAACTTGCTTTAACCTCAACATGACTCAGGGGTTTTCCATTACATGTCCCCCACAACAGCACCACGCACCACCTGATGAATCCACAGCTGTTACCTTCCTTCTTCCCAAACCTCAACTCAGCCCATGCTGCTGCTCCCTGCTCCTGCCTTGGGTAGAACGTTGGGCAAGAGAGGTCCTGGCAGCATCTCCTTCAGCTGCGAACGCTGCAGACGCAGTCTGACAGCTCAGGCACCAGGCTGCATAGTTTGCTGTTGACTGGTACGTTCGATGGTGTTCCATCACACAAGCTGCAATGGATATCTGCCCAACATACGCCCAGGAAAACATCACCAAGTTATGCTCACCCCAGAGCCAGCTTTTGTTGGTTACAGCTTCAATGACAGTGCAAGAGATGATGGGAAGCTCTAAGTGTCACACTGGCTCCAGCCGGAATCCGAACGCACGGATTCATGGCAACGAACAGAGTCAGAACATTTTCACTCAAAATAAGAGCCGGGCCAAACGCTCAAAAACTTGCTGAGAAACTCTGGCTGAATACTGCGCTCCATCTGCTAAATGGGATGTGGAGAACAAAAAGAAGTGGGAAGCACAGTGTTTGTCCTGTATAACTCACAAAACAACCATCCTCTGGGTGGAGCCAATAACCTAACACCATTTTAAGCCCAACACTCTCCAGTCCTGCCTTTCAACGGATTCATTTCCTCCAAAATTTAACAAATTCATGAAAAACCCTATGTTGCAAAAGCATGGGGTAAGGATTTGGAACATCAGCAAGCAAGGTGAGATATTATCCTTGCTGTAGAAAGCCTAGAAGTGATAGGAAAGGTATCACAGTGAGCCTCCCAGAGCCACTTTGGCATACCAGAACCCTCCTCCCAGCCCACTAGACATTCACAGGGTGCCATATAAAGACTGATACGTTTTCTTTGCCTCTCCTGCAAAGAGCTGTCAGGAACCTGGGCTGAAAACTGGGTCAAAACTGAGAATATGAAAGAAAGAAATTGGGTGCAGAAAAATAACTCCTGCTAAACAGCAATGAAAAATCAGTGCTGGGAAGAGTTCTCGCTGCACAGAAATACCATTTCTCACCTGCTCGCAGCTCGGTCAATCAGCAACCAACAAGGAGGACCTAAACGGGAAAGTTCCTGCGACGTGGCTGGATGTGGGACGTGCCAGACAGAACTGCCCCACTGCAGTGCCTGCTGCTGTCATCGCCTGATCGAGACACGGGGACACACATCCCCTTGTGCCACTGTGCTCAGCATGGACACGGTGCCTTTCCACTGCAAACAGCCCAGGGATGCATCTGCTGAGGAGTCAGATTCGTCTGGGCTCTGCACGCTCAAAGGAGGGCAGGGAGCAGATGGTGGACAGGGGACCGCATACAAAGATCCTGCGGTTGAGTTGAATTAGGGGCTTCTTTGCAGGAAAGTGCCTTTTCGTGTCTTGCTCACAGTCATTTGTGAAAGGCACATGGGTTCATGCTCTCAGTCATACCTTCCTGGCTTGGTCTGCACTGCCTTCCACAACACTCCACTTCTGGAGAGTCAAAGAATTCACTTAATTAATACTGCAGAAGGAGAAGATTTGTGGAACAAGATAGTTGTTTGACTGTAATGACGCAGCTGCCACTCCAGCCCCTTCCTAGAGCATTACCGAAACACAGAAAATGGGATAGAAGCATCGAAAGAGGTCACTTTGTCTCCTTTTCCAAGGTGTTCAGATGTACCTGAGCAAGCCTCCCAGTCTGCTTTTAAAAATCTCCAAGGCTGAAGAGATTCTGCAGAATCGCTAAGGATGCTGCTCTCGAGTGCTTAATTACCCAAAGGTATGAAGCCTTTCCTAAAGTCTAGTCTCAATCTATTCTGCTGCAATTTATGCCCATTCCTTCCTGTGCTTTTCAGTGTGGAGCTGGAGGACAGCTTGTTCTCCTCCACCCTGCAACAGCTCACTGCATTTTCCCCGAATTTCCTCTAGACTAAAAAGCCCAGCTCTTCCAGTTCCTTCTTGGAAGTCAGGCTTTTGAGATCTCTGCTCTGTCTCAATGGCCTCCCCTTAATCCTCTCAGGTGTCTTCTGCAAAGCGAATATGCACACCTGCTGTTTCACCAGTCCGACCATTAACGAAAACACTGGTCAGTACTGGATCGAGAAGAGACCTTGCAGAACCTGTTGCTTCTGCTCAGCATGCCCCGGGTAGGGCTGGTACTGGGGGGGGTTCCTCAGTCTACCTCCATGCGACACGTTTGGTGCGTAAGGCAGAGGACAGAAGACGGTACACGACACCCCAGGGGCTTGGACCTGCGCAAACACCAGCCAACACCCCAGCCTGCTGCGTGGGATCACGATTCCAAAGTCAGCTACTTTCAAACCAAACAAGACCCACAGAGGCAGCAAATAAAAACCCATAAAAAAAGAAAGGGAGGGACAGACACAGCCAGGTCTGCCTCCTTCTCTCTGGGATCTGTGCTGCCTCTTCAGCAGAGCGGAGCTGGTACCACCGTGCCTGATGGTCCCGGATGCTTGGGTGGCTGCTGCTGCGCTGCAAAGGGCACTGGCTCCTGCTGGTGCTGTTGAACATTTGTTTATAAAGCACCAGAACCGAAGGGAGCCAAGACAGTGAGAAAACCCAGCTCGGAAGCTCAGGTGTAGCAATAGGACAAAGATATGTCTCCTCTTTCATGCACATGAGTGCAAGTGCCTGGCAGGGCAGGTAGATGGCACTCCGAATAAACCGTGTGTGGTTAGAAGAGGCAGAGTTCAGGGAACACCATCCCCCTCCCACAACTTACAGGGCATCAGACCGGGCTGCTCAACCTGCCTGCAGGGTCTCTGGTTTATGGCTGCTGGGGAAAAGTCCTGGCACAGAGAGTGGGGCACTGGGACTGTCCCCAGCAGAACTCCCTTGAGGTCACAGCACAGCTGGGTTAACAGGCTCCCTTAGGGCATGGATGGCAACCACATGCTTGTTACTTTAACCCCTTCAAACAGAGCCTTGAAAATCCGTTTTTCCACAGTGACTTCCCAGACTAAGGTGCTTCCCCAAACCGAGAGAGCTCTCAGTTTTACTGGGACCCTGTGCTCCTCTGCCATGGGCAGCGCCATGAATACAGGTCAGGCAGACAGAGAAGTGAAACAGAAATTCGCACCTCTGGGATCCCTTGGTGACAAAGGTCCTAATTTTCTCACCGTCATTTCAGGAAAACAGCAAGAAGAAGTGGCACACGGGAAGGCTCGTTGCCACCGTCGCATGCAGGCTCTCCACAGAAACCAGCCCCTGCATCTCCACTTCCCCTCCCGTACCACCAACTGCTCGGGGACGCAACGCCGCAGCTTCCCAGATCGAGCACCGTCTCTGGGGCTGCGATCCTGCCTCCAAGCAGGAAACTGTTGAGAGCCACTCTTATCCTGCCGTGCCTCCAAGGGTGTGCAAAACAAATGCCATTGTGCCTCGGCCATCCCCTAGCAGCTTTGGACACGTTATCCAAGTGCAGCCCCCAGGTCCCTTCTGGCCAGGTGGTAGCAGAGAGCAGACCCAAAACCCCACATCAACAAGGGAACTGATTTCATTATTCTAAAAACAAACAGCCAAAGGAAAGTTCAGGCTAGAATGGGCTCCTAGAGCAAAGAAAGGAAAATAGAGAGCAGGCAGTGGGGAATGCTTCATATTCCTAAAAGCCTTTTGTACGTTAACACATGGTGTCTGCTTCTCTCTAGTCACCTATTTATCACTCTCCTCTTTAGAGAAGGAAAAAAGTCCTGGCTGCCTTCCTAAGGCAGAGTTTTGTGGCCGGGGGGAGGGGGAGGGTGCTTTAAGCATGATGCAAACCATTTGGAGTGCACTGAGAGCACTGCCAACACAAGCTGCACTATTTAAACAAGTGAGGAAATGATCGTATATACAACATGCCAGCGAGCACACACACACCAGAGGAAGTCGAGAGGGGTTTTCATGACACAGAGCTGGATGTCAGCGGCTGAAAGGTCGATATTTTCCCTTAACACCCTTCTCAATGACTTAATCGTGTTCCGTTTGCACAGAAAACTTCCCAAGAATAAAAGTCTGGAGGAATCGCGGGGGGATGTTTGGCCTACTGCTGACCTTGTCCGAGGTCCTCTCCACGTAGCAGGGCTCCTGGGGGGCGACCAGCAGGGGAACGAAGCCCGAGAGCAGCCGATCCTCTTCCAGGCTAAGCAGGGCAAGGTCGTCATCTGGGTCCTTGTACAAGGGCACCTCCGACTGATTCACTGTGGTCAGTATGTTACAGAAGTCAGCCAGCGTCGCCCACACATCTACTGAGACCCTGGGAGAACGAGGAGAGACGTGAGCAATTCGGGGCTGGAATGCATTGGGAGTTGCCTGCAACGCGGCAGCGAATACCAGAGAGGTGAGGCGAAGCGAGGCACGCCATGGCCGCCGCTCCCCTCCCCCACCGGCACGGCTCCCGGAGCAGCTGGGCTGGCACCAAACCCAGGAGGGCTCGTCACCCTCACCCGCGCCCACTGACGCCAACCATCCCGTCCCCTTGGATGGCAACGGCTCTCAGGATCTTGCCCTTCCCGCTGCTCTGCCCACCTCTGCCTGCTCCCGAGTCGGTG